TACTGCAGGGACTAGATTGTACTAAGCTTAGCTGGGGGCTCTCAATTCTTGCAGACTGACCTGCCCTGCTCCCATGTTTCCAGAAGCATCTCTATTGGGGTTCAGAACAGAGCATAGAGTCACAGTAAACTCTGGTTATGACCCTGATCCCACATCCAACTTGAGCCCTAATCTTGGTGTTGACTGAGCCCTGATCTCATGTCAAGACTGAGCCTTTACTCCATCTCTAGACTAAGTTATGACCATTGCCTTAGAATAAGCCCTGACTCTAGTCACATACTGAGCCCTGATCCAAGCTCAGCAAAAGGCCAATCCCAACTTCAGACCTTGATTCTGGACCTAGACTGAGCCCTGATCCTAACCTAAGACTGAACCCTAATCACAGACTGATCACTAACCCTAGTCCAAAATAAACCTTGTTTTTGACTGAATCCTGACTCTGGTGGAGCTTAAACCCTGATCTTGTTCACAAACTGAGCCCCAAATTTAATCATTGACTGAACCCTGATCTCAGACTAAATTCTGACCCTGGGTGGTGCAAACTTTGGATTCCTTGGTTATACACTGAGTCCTGACCTCTGGCTATGCCCTGAATTTGGTCAGAGTTTGAGCTCTGAACTTAATCATGGAGTTTTGTGAAGTCTGAGCCTAATCATTCCAGCCCAGACTCAATTCTAAACCTGCCCCTTTCAAGGTGCAGGAGACTCACCCCAAGGTGCTCTACCATTGAATTATATCCTCATGCCTTTTTATTTTTATTTTGAGATGAGGTCTTGCTAAGTTGCCAAGGCTGGCCTGGAACTTGATATTCTCCTGCCTCAGTCTCTGGGATTGCAGGTCTATGCTACCACAACCTTAAACCTTAAACCTGTTCTTAATCTAAGTGTTCACTTGACACTATTTGAACCTGACCCCATCACAGTCTAAACTCTAGTCCTAGCCCTATTTTGGTCTAGATTGCATGCCTCCACATAAGGGGCATTAATTATGAACAGAGATCTTTCCTGGGAGATTTTAGGCCTCCTGTACTGCTGATTGCCAGAATGTTCCTGGTACTATTGTGGCCACTGTCTCCACTGCTGGTTCCACTGGCTGGCTGGTCAACCCTCAGCAGCCCAAACTATGGCCCCTTCAGGCCACAGAGTCCAGGTTAATGCAATGAGAGTGGTTTGGTGGCATTTGTCCAATGAACAACAAGGGCCCATGGGGGCACTGGGATTTGGCTCTGTCAGCAAAAAAACCACAGACTCTGTGGGGCCTCTGGCTTCAGTCACTCTGGGGCCCTTGCTGGGTAGTTTGGGGTTGAAGTAGAAGCAGAGTAAGGGAACTAGTGGGATATGTTCCATTGTTTTGGAAGAGTTTACCATTTGTGTTTAAGTAGTACACACTTACTATAGAAAATATAGGAAAAAGCATAAAAGAGAAAAAATTTCACCTATAATTTTATCCACCAAGAGATGATCATTTTCACTTTTTGAATTATTTCCATCTAGATTTTGTCTAGGCATATGTATTCATACATACATTTATAAAATTCGTTGGTGGCTATGTTGTCATCACAACATTCATTGCAGTTTATCTTCATAACAGGAACCAGAATATGATTGACTTTAAGAAGGGGTCTTGGGGACTGGGGATTTAGCTCAGTTGGTAGAGTCTTGCCTCGCATGCACAAGGCCTCTGGGTTCAATCCCCATCACCACATACACACACACAAAAATTGACAAATCTTACTGTATGTTAATTGTACCTAAATAAAATTGGCACAAAAAATGTTTTTAAAAAAAGCAGGGGGTCTTGGGTAGAATGCTTGCCTCACATGCTCAAAACCCTGGGTTCAATTTCTAGCACCACAAAAAAAAAAAGGGGGGGGGGAGGGGTCTCAGGGATGGGGTTGTAACTCAATGGTAGAGTGTTTGCCTAGCACATGTGAGGCAATGGGTTCAATCTTTGGCACCATAAAATAAATAAATAAATAAAGTTATTATGTCCATCTACAATTAAAAATATTTTTAAGAGAATAGGTTTCAATTGGTTAAGCTGAGTTTTAAAAATCATTGAGCCTTTATTGTTTAAGCCAGTTTAAGTTACAAAGAGCATCACAACTTGCAACTGATATTACTATATTGCAGTTTCAAAGCTTTTTTGCTTTTATTACTTAATACCATAACTATGAACATTCTCCATGTCATTCAACATTATGATACATCATTTTAAACAACTGCATGGTTTTCCATTGTGTGGAACTACTATCATTTACTAAACTCATCCTCTGCTGTGACAAACTTACAGTATATTTGATAAACAACCTTGACCTAACAATTGGTCCCTTCTCTGATGATTACTTTGGGGCAAATTCTGAGCAGTGGAATTATAGGGTCAAATAACTGTTTGTAGGGTGTTGACATACTGAATCAAATTGCCCTTCAGGAAGTTTGGATGAATTCATACTTCCATGGCTGTGAATAGTGTTAGAGATAGTCCACTCCAATCATATTCTCAATGTCCTCATGTATTTATAGAAAACAGATATTAAAAACATCTCCAAGGCAATTATTTTTATATCTTCAAAATCAAGTCAGTGAAGGGGAAGTTGCAAGGTGCAAGCAAAGGGCTCAATGCAGGTGTGACTTATCCAGAGGCACAGTAGGTTCAGTGTCTAGGGCCCACAATACTTTCATGGGTCTGTGAAAATGTTTTAATTTAATTTTTTTCTTTCTTTCTTCCTTTTGTTTATTTTGGCACTGGAGATTGAACCCAGGGGCGCTTAACCACTAAGCAACATCCCCAGCCCTTTTTAAAAATATATTTTACTTAGAGACAGGGTCTCACTAAGTTGCTTAAGGCCTAAGTTGTTGAGGCTGGCTTTGAACCTGTGATCCTCCTGCCTCAGCCTCCCAGCTGGGATTACAGGAGTGGGCCACTGTTTTAATTTCTTTTAAAATGGAAAAAAAAAACCCACATAACAACAACAACAATAAAATGAATCTAGCCTGGATTCTATCATCTTTTTTATGAAGGCAGTTGTAAAATCCAATTTTTAATATGTATTTTTATTCACTTATTTTTATTATTGTATTTGGGATTGAACCCAGGAGCACTTTATCACTGAGTCATATCCCCAGTCCTGTTTATTTTTTATTTTGAGACAAGGTCTTGCTAAGTTGCTTAGAGCCTCATTAATTGCTGAGACTGGCCTCGAACTTGAAATTATCCCGTCTTAGCCTCTGGGATTAAAGGCATGTGCCATCATGCCCGGCTATTTACTCATTTTTGAGACAGATTTTGCTAAGTTGCTAAGGGTCTCACTAAGTTGTTGAGGTTGGTCTGGCAACTTGGAATCCTTCTGCTTCAGCCTTCCCAAATGTGCACCATTGCTCCTGCAGTAATATGTATCTTTTTTTAAATGGAGGAAGAAGTCCAAGAAGTCAAAATTCCTACAATTTATGCAGCTTTGGCTCAGGGTTGAGAAGGATTCTCTAGATTCAGTGGAAAGAGCACAGTGATCTCTCAGTATCTGCAGGGGTTTGATTCTAGACCTCCTCCATAATGAAATATGAGGATATTCAAGTCCCTTATATAAAGTTGGTGTAGCCTTTGCATAAAACCTGTGCACAACCTCTTGTGTACTTTATTTGTGCAGAACTGGAAAGTAAACTCAGGGCCTTGCTCATGGTAGACAAGCACTCTACTACTGACAGCACTGGGGCTCTATATCCCTAGTTCTGTTTATTTAGACAGGGTCTTCCTAAATTGTTCAGGCTGGCCTTAAAGTTGAGATTGAGTGAGTGAGCCGGCCCCCAGCTCCAGCACCACAACCTGAAATCTACCTGAGAGATTACAGGCATGCACCATGCCTGGCTCCATAAATTATCTGCAGATCACTTACAATGCCTAATACAATGTAAACAGTATGTTTAGTTGTTAATACCATATTGGTTGAAATAACAATAAAAAGTCTGTATGTGTTCAGTACAGATGCGATTTTTACTTCCAAATATTTTTTTGAAAAATTTTAGTTGTAGATGGACACAGTACACTTATTATACTTGTTTATTTAAAATTTTTTTTGTAGTTGTAGATGGACATCATGCCTTTATTGTATTTGTTTATTTTTATGTGGTGCTAAGAATTGAATCCAGTGCCTCACAAGTGCTAGGCAAGCTCTCTGCCACTGAGCTACAGCTACATCCCTAGTTTATTTATTTTTATGTGGTCCTGAGGATGGAACCCAGTGCCTGACAGTTCCAGTCGAACACTCTACCACTGAGCCACACCACCAGCCCCTCCAAATATTTTTCAACTTGAGGTTGGTTGAATCCACAGTGTGACAAAGGGCTGACTATACTTGCTGTGTTTGCTGAAGGCATGAAGAGGGGAAATGGTACTTTGATCTAGTTATCTTTGGTCTGGTGAGATGAGCACAGAGATGTTTGGGGTTCAAATCCCAGATCCACAACTTAATCTATTTCACCTTTTTAAGTCTGTTTCCTAAACAGCAAAATAGAGTTTAGGGGGCCTAGTAAAGATGAGGTAAGGAATGAACTGATAATGAAAGCCAGCACTGCCCAGATCCTGTTCTAATGAGCTTTAAGTCTATTAACGCTTTTAATATCCCAGCCCCCACAAAGTATTAATATTCTCTTACTATAAAATATGCTCTGGGCAATTGAACATTGATCGAAATTTCGTACAAAGATATTAAATGAACAAATAAGGATTCCCCAGGTTTCAATGTCCCTATATTAAACTCAAGGATCTGACCCAGAAACCCGTGTCTGTCCACGTCCCGTCTGCACCCTCTGCTGGCGTGAGGTGGCGCTGTCTGGCCGCAGCATGCGGGAGCGTCCACGCTCTCATTTGACAAAAGAAGCCTCGACATTTTCGTGATTCGGGAAGTGAAGGTTCGGATGTCAGAGAAGAGTCAAGACAGAGCCAGGAGCTAGTGGGAGGCATCCACGAGAGCCAGGGGTGGAGACCTAGAGCTGGGGGCGGGGTCTCGGGCGGGGCGGGGCCTCTGTTGGAGACCCTGCCAGTTTGCGGGCCCAGACGTGGCGCAGTGGCCGGGTGGTTGGCCTCCAGCCTGCAGATCATCAGCTGGGTACCGATGAGCTTCCTGCTGCTGCCGCCGCCGGTGTTGCTGCTTCTTGCGGCGCTTGTGGCCCCAGCCACCACCGCCACCACCTACCGGCCGGATTGGAACCGTCTGCGCGGCCTGGCCCGGGCCCGGGTAGAGGTGAGCCAGCCCCCAACCCCAGCACCACAACCCGCAAGCCCTACATGCCCCACAGCCTTGAGATTAGTGTTCGCTCTGGCTCCAGGGACACCCCGACCCCCGACCGCCCTCCTTTCCTCCCCAAAAGCGCAGGACCATCCCTCCCCCTCCCCAGCCCCCGGATGCCCACCTTGCAGCCTGGCATCCCAAACCCTTGCCTTTCTCTCTTTCTGGCCCGACAGCAGATCCCTGGACAAACAGGCCCAGTCTCTGACTTTTTGCTGGTCTAGGACTCTCCCCAAACCTGCTTCTGGGATCCCAACTTCCCATCCCCCTTATCACTCCACTTATTCCTGGAATTCCTCCCCCATCCCAATTCTAGGGCTTGGCGCTCCAGAGAATCTCTCTTCCTTCTTCTGGGGAGGAATGACTTTCTGGGCACCTCCCTTTACTCTGCAGAAGCCAGGGAAGGGGGCTGGAAACTCCATTATCAATACTTACAATGCAGCAGTCCCCTTCAACCTCCCCGACCAGGAAATTCCACAGCAAAGTCTGTCTTACAATGTGATTTGAACCATCTCAGCTTCTCTCAGAACCTTAGTTTCCTGTCTGACAAAAGTGGGTAGGATGAAGGAGACTGGAATGGGCGGTCCTGGGGTCTGAACTCCTGCTGAGATGGCCTCTCCTCAGGGAATGCATAGAGGGATGCTCCCATCCTACGTTAGGGAATCTGACAGTTGGTCTGTGGAGCTGGGCCACAGGTGGCTAGCAGGGCCCCATTCTGCATGGGTGGGGCAGGGACCAGATGGCAGGTGCCTCTAATGGGGGCCCCCAGGGCAGTTCTGAGTTGTTTCCTTCTGGTCTGCTTCTTTATTGAGATTTCAGGGGCAAAAGGTCAGACCCAGGTCTCTACTTCCTGAGAAGGGCAGGGCTATCATGTCTGTCTCTAGTGCATTGGGAATTAATGATCAATAGGTTCATGCAAGAGCCCCAGGGCTGGCAAACCCCCCTGTGGGTGTCTGGCCCTGCACCTATTTCATTAGTTTCTCTAGGCTTGAGTTTCTCTCACCATAGAGTTCCTCCTTCTGCCCACAGGGGACCTTCATTCACCTCCTTCATTCCTTGGGAATTGCTCTTCTAGGGATAACTCAACAGTTCAACCCAATTCAAGGATGAAGATGTAATGGTCTTGGGGGTGCAATTAGGGTAAAATATGAGGCACTTCTGACCTATCCCATTTTGTCCCCCTCCAGACCTGTGGAGGATGACAGCTGAACCGCCTAAAGGAGGTGAGTTTGAAAGAAGGGGATCTCTGGCTCTGTATCCCTCGAGCCTCTTGGGGAGTGGCCAACATGATTCAAAAAAAGATTGGGAACAGAGGGAAGGGGACATGTTCTCTGATGCTCTGGTTCCTCCCCAGGTGAAGGCATTCGTCACTCAGGACATTCCATTCTAGTATCCTTTTATTCTGGAGAAGGGGACATGAGGAGGGCATCTGGGAGAATCTCCTTTTATTGAATTTCACAGATAAGAGATGGTAAATAGTTTTCATTGGACAACAGAATTGATTGGTATTGACTGCCCAGAGGATTCTAAAGTGGTCTTCAAATTGGGTAGGCAAGAAAGAAACTGGAGATAAAGGCCCTTTATTTATTTGAACCCTAATTTCCTTGCGAGTAAGTGGGGATCCCATTTGGGCACAGAATAAGCATTCAGCAAAGGAGGCATTGCTGGCTCCAGGAGCCCCAGCTCCCTCTGTCCACCACTACTCCCCTTAACACTCCTTTCAGCCACAACCTGGTGATGAAACACCTCCCTGGGGCCGACCCCGAGTTGGTGCTGCTGGGCCGTCGCTATGAGGAACTAGAGGTGAAAACTTGGGAGGTGGGTGGGGGCGGAGCGAGAGGCGGGGTTCGACATGCTGACCTCACCCCTTCTTGGCCTCAGCGCATCCCACTCAGTGAAATGACCCGCAAGGAAATCAACGAGCTGGTGCAGGAACTCGGCTTTTATCGCAAGGCTGCGCCGGATGCGCAGGTGCCTCAGGAGTACCTGTGGGCGCCGGCTAAACCCCCCGGGGAAGCTTCTGACCGCGCCGACCTGTAGGTCCGGAGGTGCGGCGGGGCTGGGGCCACCCTGCCAGAGTCCCGGAGACCGAATGAAGCGCTCAGCATCCCGGGAGCGCCTCCCTTGCTGAGGGCCGACACCTCGTCTCCGAGCCAGCAGAAGTGGGGTGGGGGAGGTTCTTCCTAGCCCCCTTTTCTTCCCTCCTCAGCTCCACTAAATTTCTTCCACCTTAACCGAGGCTCTTCTCCTTCTTTGCTACAGGCAGATGGTATGATAGGTCGGAATGGGTGCTCCAAATACCACTGGGAGACCTCGCGTTCCCAACGCTTGGCTGCGGGAATTGGGCCCTTCCAGGGATAATTCGCAACTCGGCCCCCTCCCCCAAGAGAGGCAGTCAGGATCGTTGAAAACCAATAATTTATCAAAACGCGTGTGTATGCGGAGGAGGGTGTCGCGACAGACAAGGCAGCGGTGGGCGGGAGCACAGGGAGGAGACAGTGCCGGGAGGGTGGGGGCGGCAACCTGCTGCGGGCGGGCGGTGCGAGCGGTGCAGCTAAACATTCTTGCCGCGCAGGCGCAGCTCATGGCGCCGCAGGTGGTTGTAGAGCGACTGCACGTAGGTGAAGACGCACTTGGGGTCGGGCTTCTTGCCCATGATCATCATGTCCTCCACCTCCACCAAGGGCACGCAGTCCACCAGCATCCTGCGGGGAGCGGGTACCGGGATTCTTGTCAGCACCAGCCCACATTTTGTGATGCCCCTCTACCCGAGGTCTTTTCATTGCTGCAGCCTATTGGTCTTTCATAAACTCTACTGTTCATCGATTGGGGAAAAAGCCTTCCTGGAGCGCAAGGAGCCCTGGTCCTACCAGCCCAATCCCAGAGATAACACTACCCATATTACACTAGGCAGGTAGAGGAGATTCAGGGGTGGGGATGGGGACAGAGCCTGCCCCACCCCAAACAGGTTGTGGGTCTCTTTTACCAGCCCTTCAGAACTGGGGAGTTCCTGACTCCAGACCTTTAAGTCTCCTGCTCACCCTCACTAACACACTCGAGTGGGTAAAAGCCTCTGAGCTGGGCCATTGCACACAGGGGTGTCATCATTGACAAATCATTTCATGGCTAGGATTTTGGGCCCTGATAATTTTCTGTCAGCTTCCTGATCTGGTACTTACTGTCAAGCAGCCTAAGGATTCTCTTATCCATGCTCCAGGGATAACCCTGCTGCTGGAAAGGGAGGCCAAGAAGTGTGTGTGTATGTACATGCATGTGCACTTGTGTGTGTCGGTGGGGGTTCTTCCTCCTCCTGCCTCAGTAGTGGAGATTGAGCCCAGGGATGCTTTATCACTGAACTACCATCCCCAGGCCTTTATTTATTCATTTATTTTAAATTTTGCTAAGTTGCCCATGATAGCCTGAAACTACAATCCTTCTGCCTTAGCCTCCCAAGTTGCTGGGATTATAGGCGTGCACCATCACACCCAGCGAGTGTGTGTGTGGGGGGTTCTTGCACCCTAATCATCTGCCTTGGGTAGAGAAGGGGACACAAATGAGGGTTCCAACCAATACCAATGGACTATCTACAACATGCTCAGAGTTGAGCTGGACCATCCTTCAGAGTGCAAGCTGCATTTACAGATAGGGAAACTGAGTCACAGACCAGAGGAGTTGTTTGCTTAGGGATCAGGGCTGCCCCTTGTTTGTTTCAAGCCTCACAGTAGATGTAGGGCTGGACCTGACAGTTTAGGCACCTGAGTAAAGCCCTATCTTCCCTACTGCAGGAGCCCGTTCCGTGCTCTGGAGTGAATAGGTTGCGACTATGATGCAACTGACAACTCCAGAGCTGTAAAGCTGGAGTCTCTGGCTCTATTTCCCCCTCTCTCCCAAAGCAAGGCCTTTCCTGCCTTATTTCCTCCCATCTGCCATGTATGGCACATAAAAAAAAAAAAGCACTTGATCAACGTTGCTGAATAAGTTTGCTTGGCAGGGAAGACATGGGAAGGATTGATCCTGTTTCCAAGACACAAGACAGCCCAAGACCATCTCCCGTCTTGTACCTTTGCAGACACACTCAGGCCAATTCTCAGATCACCTGAGATTCTTTCAAGGAAGAAGCCCGGGAGGCAGAAAACCTGTTTCAGTCCAGATTATACCCTAAATCATCTGTGGATACTAGATAAGGCCTTGACCTGTTTTGTGACTCTGTTTTCTCCTCTTTATGACAGTATAGCCTTTCCCTACCTCATTTCAGATCTTGAAAACACTTAAAGATGAGTGAAAGGTTCCTGGCTCTGCTGTTGATGTGCTATGTGCCCTTGGGGTCATCCCTGTCCCACATGGGGCTTGTTTCCCCAGCTGCACCATGGAACAGAAGCAGCCTCTTCTCTGAAGCTTCTTCCAGCTGGGCTATCTTCCCGGGGATCCTGGCCTCCCTCCCCCAACCTGGAGCCCCCTCCCGCCCCTGGTGCCTTCCCTGGAGACCTTATAAAGCCATTGTTTACACTGGGGTGCACGGCTTGGGGCTCAGGCTGCCCCAGTGACAGGCCAAACACCAGGCAACTGGAGCAACAGCATAGCTGAGTCACACTTTCCAACTGGATCAGGCTGCAGTAGGCCCCTCTCCTTCCAGGCTGGCCTGCTGGGCAGCAGTTCCCAAGTCCATATATGACCTGGAGACAGCATCAAGCCCATCTTCCCCTTACCTGCACCTGAGTATGTATGTGCATATGTGGGCTGCCCTCCACAATGACTGCAAACCCGAAAGGGCCTCTCTGAGTGTACCCTATTGGCTTTCTCCCTCATTACTTCAGGCAATCCCCTTGCTCTCTCTGGACCTCTGGTTTTACTTCTGTCTACAAAATGGATAGGAAAACAGTGGTGGGGCACAGAAAAGAGCCACTAAATGGGGAATCTGGAGCCCCACTTTCTGACCTCAGCTCGGATTTAAACCCTCACCTCTGGAAACACTCTAAGCCTACCTCTCCCAGCTCTGAGCTCCTATCTATAATGAGGCAGTTAATTAGAATCTGAATTTTCTACTGTGGCCCTGAAATAAAATGACAAGAGAGGATATGCCATAGCTAGCTTGGGGAATCCAGGACATTCAGCCAGAAACACCTTCCTGTAACTGGCCCTATTCCCAAACTTCACACCTTGGAGTACTCCACCAACTCTTCAGGATCCACACTGACCCTCCTGCTTCCTTACAGATCAGGAAGCCTGTACCCTGTACTTTTTATTCTGGTCTCAGCATTTAGTCCATCTCAGGCCTCATTTGAGGATTGTTCTAGAATACTGACTTGCCTACAACTATCCTTCCTCAGTTCAGAAATCTTTTAGGACTCTTCTTGTCCTCAGGAAGAAGTTCAAATTCCTGCCTGTGGCCCTTTCCTCCATCCTTACATTCAGACTCAAGCTCCCTTCCTTCTGGGGTGTGCCATCCTCTCCATCTCTCTCACCCCACCCTCTCTGCCGGAAACTTTCTCCCTTTTTTAGCCTGAAATTGTTGTACATATCCAAGCTTATTTTGCACTTTGGTCAGATAGTCATTCTGGACCTGCAGCCTGGATCAGGAGCCTCCCTTGGGTTTTCCCCATCATAATTCCGCTCACCTGGGTCATTGCTGACTATGAATAATGGTTTCACCTGCTAGGCCCTGAACTATCAGAAGATAGGATCCTGTCTGCACCCTCTGCCTTTTATAAGGGCCCTCCAACATTCCCCAATGCCCCATCCACCTCCCGGGCCCCACTCTGAGCCCCGATGAGCAGATTCCAGTTGAAACAGGGCAGGTGGGAGAGGCGGCGTTTCTCACCGTGGGGCCCCAAGCAGGGGTTAGGACTTTTTGGTTTTTACCAGCCCCTTCTGGACCAGACAGCGGTAGAACTCCTGGATGTACGTGTACACGCACTTCCAGTCAGGCTCTCGAAGCCGCACCATGTCCTCTGTATCCAGAAGCTGCGGGCAGTCCGCATGGGTCCTGGGGAGGGTAGGGGGCCGGGAAGGGGCAGGGGGCAAGGGCCCAGTTGGGGAAGAGGGGGAAGAGGCCAAGAAGAGAAGGGAAAACAGAGAGACACACACATACACACACACATAGAGACATGAGTTCAGTTTCATTCTTGGTGCTGCAGTCTGCCAGCCCCCCGCATGCCCCCTCCCAATTGTGGACGTGCCGCTCACTACCCATCACTAATGGTGTGCAATGCAGACAGGGGTGGGGGGCAAAACCAGTCACAGGTGCAGAGAACTCTTGGGGCAAGCGGGAACGCAGGGTGGAGGGGCAATGGCTTGGCGCCATGGTCAGAGAGGAGGGCTGTGCCCCAGGGAGTGGGGGTGAGGGAGGCGTGAGAGGAGGTGGAGGGAGGAGGAGGAAGAAATCTGGTGGGAACCAGAAAGAGAAGGGAAGAGACGGAAAGATGGAGGAGGGTGCTGAGGGTGAAGTGAGCAGAAGGGGCAACGATTCCAAAGTGGAGGGCTTGCTGATGTCCTATATAAGTCTTTGGCAGCACCTATATAGGCTGCACGGGCACGGTGCCCGGGCCAGGAGCCTCCTTTTGGAATCTCCAGCCAGGACCCCGTGGGAGCAGGAAGCTCTGGTGATAGTGGGAAGAGAGGAGGACAGAGAAAGGGAGAAAGGAGGGAGAAGGGGTAGAAGGAGGAGGGAGGGAATATGGACAAGGCCACCTGGTGGGCTTTGGCCTGGGCTGGTAGGTGGACCTGTAGCTCCTTCCTTCCGACGGGCACCTGGCACACTCAGGAGCAGGTGGGTAGGGGCAGAGGAGGAAGGGGACTTTCTGGGGAAGGGGATCTCAGCCACAGACCCACAGTGTGGCTGGCCAGCTCCAGAGGGTCTTGAGTCAGCTGAGCCCAGCTGACACCAGCAGGGCTGGGGCCCACACTTACTCAGCAGATGAGAAGGCCACCTCGAAGTTCTGGCGCCTGTTCTGTGGGCTAAGCTGCCCATAGTCGAAAGCCTCAGGGAAGAAGTTGTGCACTAGGGCACAGAAGGCCATTCCATCACTCCAGCTGGAGGAGAAGTTCTGGATGTCCACATGCTATGGGAGGTAGACGGACTGGTCAGGACCCTGGGGGCAATTCCTCCATGCCCACTATCCTTTAGTGTTTTGGCACTCCAGACCTAGGCTCAATAGCTTGCTCAGGTCTGCACAACAGGTGAGTACTCAGAACACAAGCCTCTTCCAACTCAGTCTGTTTACTCCCATGTCTGTGA